GCCGACCGAAGAGCATTAAGAAGAATAATCGTGAAGAACAGGCGTGCCAATTATTTACAATTGAGTGCTCTGTGGAGTGACGCTGTTGGAAGGAGAAATTCGAGGTCCACAACTCATAGAGAGGCACACAAACTGGGATTTAGCACTTGTAAGGTAATTTTTCTTATAAAAAAAAGTGAAGTAAAAACCCTAAAGTTGCACAACTTGTTTATAGGCCAAAGAAAGGCCACCATTAACTCCACTGCAAAAGAAAAATCGGGTTAGATGGGCTAAAGAACATAGACAATGGACACCTCAACAATGGTGTGAAATACAATGAAGTGCTGAGGCCCGATTCGAAGTTTGTGTTGGTGACAGTCGCAGTAGAGTTATTCGCAAAAAAAATGAAGCATTCCATGTTGACTGTCTGAAGAGAAAAGTGAAATTTCCAGCATCCGTTATGGTCTGGGTCATCAAAAGTAGTGGGAAAACTCCATTTTATTGATGGAAATGTGGATAGAAACAAATATTTGGTAATTTTAGAAGAATCGCTTTTATCAGTGATGGAAGAATGTTTGACATCCGTCCAAGATATTGTGTTTCAGCAAGTTGGTGCAGCATGCCATACCTCAGAAAAGGCTATAAAATGGATGGAAGAAAATAATGTATCACTTTTGAAATGGGTTTCTAGCAGTCCAGATCTGTCACCTATTGAAACTTTGTGGCACGAGATGAAAAAGGTTCTACGACAACATCCTGCTCGTACAATCACCGAACTGAGACAAAAGCTTCAAGAAATATGGAATTGTTTTACACCAAATTTTTGCCAAAACTTGGTTAACACTATGCCCCGAAGAATTTCAGCCGTAATAAGAAATAAAGGTAATGTTACCCAATGGTAATCTTTCAATTGTTGCTTTGTTAACTTCGCGCATTTATTCGCACATTGTTTATTTGTTCAGATGTTCCATTAGTTATAGGTCTAAGTGATTTCAAATATGTATTTTTTACGACTAGAGTGTATCTAAAATGTTTTTGAGAAAATAAATTGCTTAAAAGTAAGTAGTTTCGTCATGTTTAGTTCATAAAGGCATATTTTGGTACAAATCTTGAAGTGGGCTAACTGAAGTGGGAGGAGGCTCGTAGAATCTACTGAGATGCATCCCAAATTTAATAAAGTTTAGATATGCCTTTGTTGGTGTTGAATAGAAAGCTGTTCAAAGAGAAGGAAATAGCAGTTTCTTTGGAACTCAGTATAAGCATTGTTCAACGTATTCAACTGAAGATAGCCAACCTAATGCTATATTCCCGCGTCCAAAAGGTTATCCTTAGATCTGCGTGATGCCTCAAGTATAAAATCAAATCTAATAATGTGTGTATTCAGGAAACTCAAATTTACCCAATATTTGAAATCAGATATGAGACCAAAAATATCTTCAGACTTTGACCTCCTAAAACATTTATTTGAGAATTTTACCTCCCAATAACGTACAGGCGAAAATTTCTGAAATAAGAAATTACGTTCTTCGGATGTTATGTGGCGAGTCCATCACGGAAAATCAAGTCACTCATTTCCGCCGGTCTGTCTGTTTGTCTGTCAGCTAGTCAACCTGTCTATAACTTTAAACAGCCTCAGATTTTGATGAAATTTTATGAAAGTTCACCACTATACCAAGGATGAAAAATCTGTAGTTCCTCAAAGAAAACAATAAAAGTCGCCAAGCTCCGTTTCTTGACGTTGTCATAAAAATTTGTCTAGTTGTAAATTTGGGAGATGTGGGGATACAGGGAGCGCTTATCCTAACTCTTTAGCGTCAATATGCTTATACGCATCCAACCTGGGTAATTTTACGCTCCTATCAGACAATAGACCCATTTCACATATCCTTAGATTTCCCCGTACATCTGCCTCTAAATTTTAGAATGATAGAAGAATACATTCAACACCATGTCTCTAGATATACGAGTACCTACATCCTATGGGTGTGTTTAGCAAGGTTCATGTGCGCCCGCAAAAATTTCTCTCAGGAAAGAAGGAACGATTTTTGAAAAGTTAATTAAACACCCTGTAATTTTTGTCTCACAATAAGCTTCACACGCGATAAATAACAGTCATTGGTGTACAAATTTCACGACATTCTGTGCATGTACGCCATGGGAAAATTTACTATGTGTTTTACCCAGTGTCTTTTGCTTTAAAGGTCCAAACGTCATCCCAGGGAGATCGTTGCAAAATGGTCGGTACTGTCGTTAGGGCAGGCAGAAATTTCTTGATCACAAATGTCCTGTCCTCTCGAATGTATGAGAACTATGGACTATTCATGTAGGTGTGTATGACTGACTTGGTCCATCTAGTCTTTTTGTTATATATATATACTTCGAAGTTGAGTCATTTATTTTAACAGTGAATACATCTGATCAAAAGAAATGTTATTTCCTTTACCATTTTTCTGGTAAAATTAAAGTAACAAAGTTATAGCCCTTTGGAAGTTTGAGTACCGACCTGTCTGAATAATAATATTATGTGCTCGTGTTTGGTTCATCGCATCGGGAACAAAAAAGCGAAAGAATTTGAAACGATGTTTTTACAATTATTTTAGTCAGTTGTATACAGTCAGTGTCAGTCGGTAACGCGTTTGAATAGTGGTGTCTGTTGCGTGGCTCAAACGAAATAAAAAATGGCACATGTTTATGCGGATCGGTTTCCCAATCGAGTGCAACCAACCCCTCGTGCCTTTGTTAATGTAGTACAACGGGCTCGTGAATCAGGTGACTTAAGACCACACAGGGGACTGCATGCCGGTTCTCCAAGTCCTCACGATCAAATACAGGTCCGCACTGAAATACTTGTCGGGAGGATACTTTATAAAACAAGGTAAACAATTTTTTTTAATTTCTTTTTATATTTACACACATATTTTGGTTTATCTTCCTTCTACAATCATTATCTGAAAATTAATTACTCAACTTCAAAGTCACCCTGTATATATTATGTTCGTAGCTAACTTTTTTCTAGTACCGGACGTAGTTATTTATAAGCTAATGACAGAGTTTCGTGGGATGTGCAGAGGCAACCTACTTGGTGCCATTCCAGAAGCTCAGGCATATACAGGGTGTTCCTTAATGATATGAGAATATTTAAGGGTGTGAATCTACATGTCAAATTAATTATAATTATGAACTATGGTCCAAAAATGTTTCCTTACAAAAACTCGGGGTGTTGAAGTTTTAGGAAAAAAATGGAACTTAATTATGATTTTCTGAACCGCTTAAGATATTTCACTGATATTTAGTAGGTAGTGAAAGTTATTAAAGTTCCATTTTTTTCAATGCAAAATAATTTTCAGCATTAACAGTGGCGTGCGTACGGGTATTGACTTCAATATTTTTTAAGAAAATATAGTACGCCAACGGTTTTTTGCCAAATAAAAATTATTTTTGAATTCCCTGTTGAATTTATAATAAATGATCTCTTCTGAGTTGCTTTCCTTCGATGCGCCATTTTTAAGTAAAAAAAATAAAAACCGTTCTATTGTCCGAGAAAATTAATGTAATAATTGAAGAATGCAATTTGGCAATAAATATCTAGTTGCTCCGGAATATGTCACTGGCCTTTGACATCTAATAAGTCTCTGTTATTGAAAGCTGTTCGGTGTGACATCTTTTACATTATTTAGTTTTTACAATCTTGTTAATAATGGTGAATTATTCAAATGCAGAACTAGCGGAAATGCATTACGTATATAGCCTTGCCGACGGTAATGGTGAGCAAGCCAGACGGATTTATCACCAGAGATATCCCGATCGTGCTTTGCTAGATAGTTGAATCTTTTCTAATATCCATCGTTGTCTTGTTGAAACTGATTCTGTCCGAAAAGGAACATCTGAAGGTAGACCTCTAAGTATGAGAACACCTGAAATTGAGGAAGCAGTGCTGCACGAAGTCGAAGAACATCCTGAAACGAGTCCGAGGAAGATCGCTAGACACTTAAATTGTTTGGAGAATTTTAGTGAATTTTTTGTTATATCCTTACCATATAGAGTACAGGCATTACTTCCCATTGATTTTCCAAGGCGGGTGACCTTTTGTCAGTGGTATCTTCAAAAAAATTACACAAAATCCGCACGAAGCTAATTTTTCACGGAATGCCATTCAGAACTGCCACAATAATCATTTGTGAGCAGAAGAAAATCCCTATGCCGTTAGCGAAACCCATTTCCACCACCAATTTAAGGTTAACGTATGGGCAGGAATTATTGGCAACTACTTACTGGTCCCAAGAATGCCCACCAAGGTCCCCAGACCCCAACAGTTTAGATTTCTTTTTGTGGGGCTATCTTAAGACACTAGTGTACACAAGTTGCAGCTTGTGATAGAATAAAGAACACTCCAGGGATATTTCAACAAGTGCGCAATTCCATCAGAAGGAGGGCGGAAGCATACATATTAAGTGAAGGGGGTCATTTTCAATAATTTTTATAATCATTTCGTTGGTTTTGATGTTATGTTTTTGTTGTCAGTTGTTGTTACCCCTACTGTGTTTAATTTTTCCAATTAAATTAATCATAATTTTGCAGGTTACACAATAGAACGGTTTTTATTTTTTTACTCAAAAATGGCGCATCAAAGGAAAACAACTCAGGAACAATCATTTATTTTGAAAATAATTTTTATTGGCAAAAAAGCATTGGTGCACCATTTTTTTCTTAACCCTAGAATACTAACGTTTCTTCAACATACGTAAACACTAACCACACGTAAAATTTACGTACTGATTCATTTAGGTCTACTATTTTCTGTTTATTTCAATACAAATTGAAACAAAATTGGTCTAGTTCCAAAAAATTTTATTTGGGTTCGAAACTAATGAAAAAAACCTTGGAATATTAACATAAACAAAAACATCATAAAATAGATAGTTTTGGAACACAACATTTTATCGTAATATGGACAAAACAAACTAGTACATATAAAAAACTAAAATAGGAACAATAACATAACTATAACCTGGAGCCTTCTTTCACTGTCCACATTCCATACATATTTTTATTTGATGCTCGCCACACAAGGCACGCTCGCACTTATAACAGTTGGTAGTTGTCATTCGTTTCTTTGCTGTAGGGCACAAGCTGCAGTAAGTCCGTTTTCCTTTCCCTTGGGGCTCTCGGCGGTCTTCTGCAACACGTGGCAAATGTAAGAGCGTAGAAAGACTCTCTTTTAGACCTCTTGATAAAGTTGGTACTGTTTGGAGCCTTATTTGTTGCCACGGCTTTGTTAATTGTTCATGAAGTTTCAGCATAAAATTTAGCCTGGATAATGGCTCCTGTCTGTTTTTAGTTGCATTGTGGTGGTATATTACAAAAGCGTTTACTCCTGCAATATTCAGCATATTGTAAAAAATGCATAGCGGCCACCTTCTGGTCTTCCTATTACAGCAAATGTTCTGAGACATTTGATCAAATGTATCTACAGCCCCCTTAGTTGAATTATATGTATGGATTATTTCGGGCTTTGTTGTTTCTTGATTGATGTTCCCAGAAAAATGCATCGTTGAAAGGAGAAGAACTGTCTTGTTTTGCTTAGGTTTATAAGATAATAAAGTCATGTTTTCATCGTACACAAACATATTTGAACCGCACTGCCAAGCTTTGTTATCCAGTGATTCAGGAGGTATTTCTCCTTTATTCTTTCGGAGTGTTCCTACCATTGTCAAATTGTAGGGTGGAGCTAATAATTTATTCGCAAGAGGGATGCTGGAAAACCAGTTGTCCATGGTCACATTACGTCTACTTCCATGTAAATGTTTCGTCAGACTTGTAACAAAATGTTCTGCTAACGGAATGCCGTTGGTTCTAGTAGATTTGCCAAGATACGGGGTCGCATTTAGTACATATTTCGTAGCCACATCGCAAACGATAAGTATTTTCATGCCGTATTTACTAGGTTTGTTAGGCATATACATGCGAAATGGACACCTGTCACGAAATCCTAGGAGCTGCTCGTCGATGGTGACATATGAACTAGCTTTGTAATTTTTGGCACAGTTTTCAATGAATAAGTTCCAAATTTTAGATATTGGAGCAAAACTACTTTCTTTTTTACGTTCTTCTCTGGTCACGAAGTTGTCAAATCGTAAAGTATTTATCAGAAAGTTAAACCTTTCTTTGCTCATGGTTGCTTTATATCTATCGCCACAATAAGTGCCGTCAAACAAAACATCAGCTGAGAGGTGATTATTTTTTAAAGCTGCAGATAAAAATATCAAACCCAACAGCGCTTTCAGTTCAGGCAATGTCGTATCTGAAACAGTAGCACTTTTCGTCTTGTATCTCACTCGTAGCTCTGCAATTTTTTCATTTGTACGTAGCAAAACTTCGTCCAGAATCTCATCAGAGAAAAATAAATTGAAAGTATCTATAGGCTCTATGGCATATTTGGCTGAATTTGTTGGACCTGGTCGGATATAAACAATATTTGTTGATGCGATTTTACAACCTCCATCATTTATAGGTAAAGTACTCCATTTGTAACCGTTTTTACCTACTAAAGAAGTTTTATCTAATATTATTACAGGTATTTGTGGTTCACTAGGGCTCTCAGTAGATGATTGTGATGATAGTGACTGCGTAATTTTAATCCTTTTACGAGGGCACGTATTTCTTGCTTCTTTTTGAGTTCCTGCTGGTGTAGTTGTCCAGGTGTTAGCTAGTTGTGCGAAGACATTTCCTTCGTCTTGTGCAGGATCATAGTCTCTATCTTCAATGCTATCATCACTCTCAAATGGCTCTTCTAACTCCTCTAGGTCATCTTCTTCTCCACTAACATAACTGAATTCATTATTTATAATATCCTCCAATTCTTTTGAGTAAGAGGACGCTTTAGATCGTAGTTTGATTGTCCCGACATCATATTTATACGTTAATAATAAAAACACGTCAAACTTACGTACAAAATTTTTTACGCGGATACTAAGCACACGTAAATTTTACGTACAGAGTGTAAGGCACACCACCGCCGAAGCCTAACCCAAACTAAAATCAAAACGGTTATGCACAGTGATGCCACCTGCCAGTAAAGGAATTATGGTACGATGTTGCCAGAATTATCAATTTTTCTTCAAAATTATGTTACAAATAGTGTTCCTTTAAGACAAAAAATACACATAATTAATATAGGTTCTTTAATGTAAAAATCTCATAAAAAATGGAACATTTTGGAAAATCAAACAAACTCTCGAAAAATCCTACAAGATATACCTAACTCGAAAACATAAAAACATTAATCCGGTTCAAAATGAATATCAACAGTTTCATTTTCATCTTGAGCGACATGTTTATAGGACGTTATCCTATTAGTCATATTTTGAGTAACATTAAATTTATAACATTCACGATTTACACTTTGAGATGCCAATAAAAATGAATTTTGCTGTATCACTGTACAAGCGATTTCGGACATCTGTTTTGATTAAATTTACTTTTGAAAACATTCTTTCGCATGCGGCATTTGAATGAGGAATTACTAATAAATCTAATACAAAATTTCCCAATTCTTTGAATACGTAAACATTAGACATGTCGTGAATTTGGGAGATTTTGTACCAGTATTTATCGATTGATGTTTCATCCTTTATTTCATCACTGAAATTTGGTTCTGACTGGCAATACATCCGCCACTGATCATCACTTTTTTGTATTTGTTCAATATCTTGAGGATCTACAATTCTGGGTAGTAACTTAATTAATGGAAAAAGCGATGCTGGTTTTTCAAATACTGATATTTTTGACAAAATATTTTCATTAAAATCAAACCGTTTTTTCATTTCATTTGCGGAAGTTATTAAAAATTGACTGCACCGCATGTAGAAATCTTCTTTTTCCTTTTGACTTAATTTATCAATGTTCTGAAGTACGCGAACACCAAGGTATACCTGTTTCAAGTCAATGAACTGACTAGCATTGTTGGGATCGATTTTACCTATTTCGGTTTTATGAATATAATTTGGTTGTAAATAGCTTAAACAAATTTCTTTATAAGTTTCACAAACTACAGCATAAACGTGTGCAATTATGACACGCTCACTTTGAAAGTATTCATTTAATTTTTCAAATGAAGAAAAAAGAAAAAGTTTTGTTTCCATATCATTAAGTCTATTGGCAGCAACTTCTGAAGCTTGCAGTCTATGTTCGGTCCGTTCTTTAACAAAATATAATTGAAGAGGATTCCATTGCTCAATTATCCTTCTTTCCACTACCATAAGTAATGAAAGCCACCTAGTTGGTGAAGGACGTAAAATTTTGTGAGACTCCACATTACAAAATGTCTGAAATTCTGTAAATTGTGCTTGCCGTTTGGAGCTATTTTTAAAGTAACCAAAAATATTCCTGGCTAAATCTTCACAATGACGGGGCAAAACTTTACAAGCCTCACTGGAACAGAGATGTAAAGAGTGGCAGATGCATTTTTGAGCTATAATGCCAGGAAGATTTAGTTTTAACCTACTTACTACTGAGTTATTGGCACCAAACATAGTGTTACAACCATCAGAACCAAATCCTATAATATTTTGGAAAGGTATATTGTTAGATTCAAATAAATCCATAATTTTTTTATAAAGAACTTCTGCAGTGGCCCCTGTATTTGCTTCATCTGGATTTTGATTTGAAAAACATTGTAGTTACCTCAATTGTTTTTTCACTAAAGTACCTAACACATACACATATATTTTTACTACACCTATGTCTGTAGATTCAGCTACTAAAATGCTAAACTTTTTTGCTTTTAGTTCATCGATTAGTTCTTCAAAATGAGATTTGGCTAAAACATGTTTTATAACACCTGTTGCTTTGGTTCTTCCCATCTGCATTCCTTGGGCAATTTTCGAGTCAGGAAATAAGACTTTTAATAAAGGAATCAGATGATCACACAGCTTGATGGGTAGATTATGCTCTGACATTAATGCAGCAATTTTTATTTCTGCCCTACTCACTTGACCACTAGCTTCGTTTTTATTAGAAAACATAGTAGAAATTTTTGGTTGATTTTTCACAATCACCTTTACATTTTTTAAATGTTTAGCTCCCTTACTGTGATTTTTCAATACAGTTAAATCTGCTTGAATTTCACTATCACAAGCAATACATTTTGCTCGAGTGGGTTTTTCTAAAAACAACAATGCATATCATTAAAATATAAAATGGTTTTATGTTATTTTTTCTACCTTTAACAGCTTTCAACCATCCTTTGAAATGAGGATTGCTTTCCCATTCACATCTATATTTTTGTGGTCTATTTTCTCGTCTGTTTACGTTTTTAAACTTTAATCGGAGTAATCATGATGATCCCCTTTGCTGGTACTGGCCATTTTATTTCACTATTTGATCACATCAACACACATCAATAAGGACTCATTCGATCAACTACTCTTGCTCGTATTGAAAAAGAAACAATGAGGATTAGGGTATTCCCCTGCGTAGGCTCAAATTCACCGAGACTCGAGTTCCGTAATATTTACATAGATGGCGGTAGGCTTGATTTTTATTCTAATTCCATAATAACCATGCTATTAACTGAAAGAGGTCAGCACTAATAATTATTATCCTTTTTGTTACATTGCTTTGGTTGCATACAATTAGAATCAATAATTTTGAAAACATAGTTATAGGCTGGGAGATGGAAAAATAATATGTTACAATTATCGATTATGTTACATCTTTTTATTTACTGTATATTTCAGTAGAAAATATGGTACAATTTGATAATTATGTTACAAGTGGCAACACTGGTTATGCATCTGTTTTAATGACCAAGAAGTGGAGATAGCATAGCAGACGCGGCAAAGAGTTGCCACGTTTAGTATTTTTCAGTAGCCATCAGATTAAAATCCGTACGTAAAATTTACGTACGTTAGTATTCTAGGGTTAAAAAATATTGAAGTCAATACCCGTACGCATTCCACTGTTAGAGCTAAAAATTATCTCATCATTGAAGAATATGCGACTTTATTAACTTTCACTACGTACTACATATGAGTCAAATATCTGAAGCGGTTCTGAAAATATTAATAAATTTCCATTTTTTTCCTAAAACTTCAACACCCCGAGATTTTGTAAGGAAACGTTTTTGGACCATAGTTTATAAAGCAAACTAACATTAATTTTCCATGTAGATTCACACCCTTAAATATCTGCATATCATTAAGGAACACCCTGTATATCAAATATTCGGGTTACAACTGATTCCCAGAATCAATCATGCGTAATCGATCGGACACCTTACACAGAACGGAATCAACACGGACGGCAAGTCTGAGTTTCCCTACGACCCTCGGAACCCTAACTCCCTACCTTTCATTACCATTCAAAACAGCCGAGCGCAAACAATTGCCTTCGAAAAGTCACCAATAAAAGTAACCTGAGCGTCCACGGCGCGCCAAAAACTCGAGCAAACAATGAAAAACTAATTTTCCAGCATTCGCGTCGCGATCCAATTATGGAGCTGTCACTTTTCGAGGCGTTTCTGTTTGATTGATTCTGATTCGGAGTTTGCGAGTCCGAAAACGTCAACCTAAATTAACTTCGCCCCTGATATTCATAAATCTGTTCGGGTGTCTTCTTTAGATAATGGAATTAGGACGGTTCATTTCACGCGATGTTTTCTTATAGCGCGCTCGGAACTAAAAGAAGGACGAAGAAAACGGATAATGTGATGGTTATACAGCCGTGTCACGTCATGTTACAGGTCTGTAATAGAACTAGACAAACCATACAAACAAACTTCAAATAGGAATATTAAGAGGCCAAGGAATGGAATAATTTTTCCATTTGTATCATTCTTCAAGATATTCCTATATCTTTTGCAAACTAACAAATGTTGTCCTGTCTGAAGAGAGGTTATGGTCAAAGTTATGCATTACCGGCAGCACCGCACCCGCGTTGTAAGTAATTAAGCCGCGTCACATAACAATTAGGAATGACGCATCACATACAAAAATTCGGACAAAACTTTGTTTCATTTTAAGTTACTTCAAAAACTGTAATTAGCTCTGTTATAGTTAATAATGCTACTCAGAATTGCAGGTAAATATACTAAGTGACATATAAATCCGAACACCCAGTTTAAATAGTTTTATTTTAATAAAATTTTGTATAAGTACTTAATGAAGCATAATAAGTAACTGATAAAAATTTCAAAATGATTGCACTGCTTTGAAGCCCTTTGACCTTTAATAATGTGTGGATGCACCCTGATGTGCTACGCATTCTCCAACGCGCCTAGGCATGCTTCTGATCAGGTGGTCAATGTCCTCCTGTGGTATCTCATTCCAGGCAACCACCAACTCATCTCGAAGTGCTTCTAGAGTCTGAGGAGGACGTTGCAAATTGAGCAATCTCCTACCCATCATATCCCACACGTGCTCAATTGGGGATAAGCCGGGAGATCTTGGTGGCCATGGTAACAATCTGACATCATTATGTTGAAAGAAGTCTATTGTGACTCTTGCAACATGTGGTCGGGCATTATCTTGTTGGGAAGTTGGATCTGCCAGGGTGTCAAGATAGGGTAAAAGATGGGGTTCTAGAACTTCGTGGATATAACGCTGCGCGTTCATGTTACCTCTGATGAAGATTAAAGGTGACCTGGAACCATAAGCTATAGCACCCCAAACCATAACTCCAACAGTGTGATGAACACGTCTTTCAACAAAAAACAGTGGATTCCTCCTTTCACCACGTCGCCTTCTAACCCTGGCACGACCATCGTGCATGCCTAAACAAAATCGAGACTCGTCACTAAAGACAATACTGTTCCATTCCTGATCCCAGAGTGACCGTTGTCTGCACCACTCAAGGCGATTACGTCGGTGTTCTCGAGTTAAAGGGAGGACCCAGTGTGGCCGGTATGAAAACAAGCCAAAACGTCTCATTCGTCGGTAAACACTTCGCATGCCAATAGGTTTTCCGTGATCTGCAAACCATTCATTTGCAATGGACCTGGTAGTGGAGAAACGGTCTCTTAAGGCCAATAACCTTAGGCGGCGATCTTCACGGTCTGTTGTTCTACGGCGGCGTCCAGTGCCCGTTGCTCTTTGTGTACGGCCTTCTCGAAGCCATGCCTGACAACACTAACCACAGTGTCTACACTTCTTTGCACTCTAACTGCAATTGCCAGCAAAGAAAGTCCAGCTTCCCGAAGTCCCACTATACGGCCCCTATCAAACTCACTAAGTTGACGAAATCGTACAGGTCTCCGTACTCTAGGCATCGTAACCGATCGTAAAGGATGTCAAGAACCAAAATCCGCCAACGTTGATTCTTTACTGCGGCTGAAATATTCATTTTTAGAGCGTTAGTAAATTGAAAAAAAGCAGTATAAAAACCGGAATGTCCAACTGATAAGGCTGAAAATTTTTTCACTTGTTATTTACAGTAAGATAAATACATTCACCAACTTTTATTAAAATAAAACCATTGAAACTGGGTGTTCGGATTTATATGTCACTTAGTATAAATAAAATGCTTATAGTTAAGAACGTGAAAATATCTATTAAAAATATAAAAAATGTTATTAAGAAGATGAGAAGCAAGACTCATCTAAATAGTATCCTATGTCTGGTGCAGAGTCTTCATCATCATCATTATCACCAGACAAATCTGACTGGTCTATCGGTTCTTTAGGCAGGAGCATTTTAACAGTTTCGTTGAGAAATGGTTTTGTCGTTTTTCTGGGAGTACTCGTAAGTCTCATTTAATGTATATTGCCGAGCATAATTTTGACGGTATAACCGAAAGTGTTTCTCGCGAGCCTCTACGGCCTTTTTTTTTGTGAAGAGTTGATGTCATTGGATGCCACGAATATAATTTAACGTACATTTGTGCCGTGTCCAAACAAAATGTTTAAAATTTTTGTTTGTCTATTTTATGACCGCTTGATATCGCTTCTAAAATTACTTTAAGACGAAAAAGGAGCCAGGAATCTATACCGATTATTGTTATAGCTCATGATCCGTAAAAAATCTCCTACTGGTATTCCCAGAATTGTTGTTTCCGAAACCAGCTTTTGGAACATCAACTATGAGACCCATTTGGGATCTAAATTCCTTTTGTATCTTCAATTTCTTTTGGTGAACTATCTCTTTCACTTTTAAATTGCCATTTCTTCACTGGCAATTTGTACGCAAAATGAAGCACTCCTTCAAACAGTCTTAGGGACAATTTCACCAACAACAGTCCGTTAATCTCCACCTATAGGGTAACAGATCATCAGATACAGCGAATGAGCTTCAAGTTCCAATCAACAAATTTTAGCAACCAATAGCTACGAAATGTTGAAAACAAAATACTGTCAAAGTATGAGATGACAGCTTGTCATTGAAACATCACCAGCTTATTGAATTTTAAGAAATTACATATAATTCAGTCAAAATTTAAAGAAATGTTGGATTTTTGAATAAAATTCATGTTTACTATTGTTGATTTTTTATTCATGTTTATATTATTTTTTTCAATCGATATGCGATACTGGCTGTTTTTTCCTATAAACCTCTTGCAGATAGCCATTAAGCACCTACTTGATGACAGGCTCTACCAAAAGATATTGCTCGTTTCCAAACATTCATTCATTTACTTGCCGTTCATCAGAACCATTATGGTACCTTAGATTGATATTCCCACAAAACCATTCTTTTAATATCCATACATCCATAAAGTTGAATATTTTTTGTTGTCCAGGAACTGAAAAAACATCCACACTATATTCACAGCGATTAAGAAATTCCCAAATATATGCCTTAAAGCTACCAGCAAACCTAAAACCTGCAAAAAAACTACAAATTTGCCATATTTTTCTTTTTTCACGAGTACACATTCTAGGTTATATTTATATTAGACATTATTTGAATATAGCTGATTATTGCATTTCAAGGAGTGACACATGTGTGGGATCTGTGAACTCTTGGTACCAGTCACAAAACATATACTCTGAAGGTTTAATTCCATGCTAATCAATGACAACACGGTGACT